CCCGTAGCTGTGCTTCAGACATAGATCTGCTCGGGGGAGCTGTGCCGCAGCCCGCCGACTGGTTGTCGGTATGGTCTCAGACAGTCCGTGTTAACCTGTCTTCCCGTGGGTCTATGAGGTCTTCTTTGACTCAGCAGTTCATTTCTTCGAACAGAATGCAGGTCAAGGAGGTCGAGCGTCGTGCCATCTCCCACATGCGTCTGATTTTGCGGGAGTGTGTGAGGGAGAAGAAACGTCAGCAGCTAGGACGGGCCAGGTCTATCTGCTTGTCATTGGACGACAAAGGCTTCTCCCCCTACAGGCTGCTGCGATTCAAGTGCTGTTCGGCTACGGGGGAGATCAGTAGTGGCATCGTTGGAATTCTGCACAGCAGCAAACTGTGTCTTGACAACCCCGAGAAGTGGGACGAGGACAAAAGTGTTGCTGCAGCTGCGACGGTTCATCATCTGGTCGAGGTCTTTTGCACACCTCTGGGTGAGGAGCAGCCGGACCAAGTTCTCCTGGACGTTTTTCGGCTCGGGGTCCAGAGCTTTTGTGCTGATGGATGTCCCTTTGTGCAGAAGGTCGGCCGGGTCTTACGAGCACGATACTATCCGAAGCTGGTGCTGCTCAGCCGAGACATGTGCCACATGCTGCGCTGCTCGTTCCAGCCTCCTTCGATGGCCGACCCGAAGCAAGAGGAACTTTGGGGTCTGATCAACAATGGCGACGGCCCGGTTTGTTTAAACAGAAGGGTCTTAGTGTGTGTCCTATACCCTAAACCTTAGTTGAATTAATTATAAATCTGGAACTGCAATGCAATAAGCCCAAGAACTTCGGAATGAAGCTCTCCCCTGGTCTGTCAGTCCACATTGTGCAGGCACCCTGTTCCCAGCTCTTCAGCATTCGCATGAGTGGAGGGCCAGACTCAGGACTTTGAATGCGACGGTGCTTGAGAAGGACGGGGCCATTCACAACATTTTGCGGTCTAACCTGCGGCACTTCTGTTGGGCTCCGCAAAGATGGGAAAGTTCGGTCTGTCCGTTGCGCTTCGCGGCGGCATGATACTGCTACTAATTATAATTAAATGAAATTAATAATGCGGTCAAGGAGGGGAGATGTTCTGACTTATTTTCTTTTTTGATTCTGAGCTGCAAATGAGGTCGCTTCATCTACCTCCTCACCCCGATTGTCTTGCTCATGGCATTGACTGCTGGAGACCAGCGTACTAGCCCGGCGCATCGTGCGAAATGCCACAAGCTTCTGGCCGGCTTGCGGCCCGGTCTTTTGGTCTGCTTAGGCTTGGCCGCCGATTTTGGCAGCGAGGTCACGGGCTTCTTGCGTGAATGGGAAAAGGACTTTGATGTGGCAACGGTCCATCGCCGCATCGCTGCCTTCAGGTCTAAGATTTCCAGCTTGTTCCTGGAAGCCCGCATCTTTGACGAGTTAAACGAGGTCTCAGATGAAGAGCAGTCCAGCGCCCGCGCAGCAATCAGAGATTCCTTTTTGAAATTCAACCTGAAAGTAGGCCTTACGTAATTAAATTTAACTCCGACTCCATGTGTGTATAATTTATCACTCGCACGGAAAAGGTGTGGTCTTGGCCGCAAAGCATGCCATGCAGACGCCGGAAATCCAGGTCAATGGAAAGGTCTACAACATCTGGCCTTCCGGATCTGGTCGTATGCCAGAGGTCCAGGAAACGGTCGAGAGCTTTCAGGTGACAACACAGGCCTTTCTGGCCCGCTTGGCAGCAGAGCTGCCAGACCAGGAGATGAAGATGACGCTCAGGGCATTGGACTTGGTCTTGTGGCGGAGGTCCAGCACTGTGGGGAGAGTCAACCTGGAAGTCATGGTCCGTGTCTGGTTCAAGGACTTGGGTCTGGACCACGATCAGCAAATGGTCGGTGTTCAGCAGTACAGAGATGCTGCGCCCGGCCCCCAGTCTAATTTTCTGACATTGGATTCCACGGTCTCCGTGTCTACCAGAGCGAGGGTAAATAATCGGGCCCAAAGCTGAATTCTAAATCAAAGCCGCAACCTTGCTTGCTTGAGGTCTTACCTCTGTTCCAAGCACTCGGACGAGGAGATCGACAAGGACAATCGCGGCATTTGGGCTAGGGTCATGGACAAGAACTGGACGGTCTTGAACATGCTGCTGTGTTTCTACTTGGCCTTGGAGGTGTCTTCCTGCACGCTGGAGCGCAATTTTTCGGAGCTTCGACGCTTTGTCGACACCCACTGCGGGGCTAGCCAAGCGGACTCCAATGACATTGAAGCCGCCCTGGAGCTGCGACTGGATGGACCGCAGGTCGAGGAAGAGGTCTGTCTGCGAAAATGCGCCAGCACGGGCACAGAAAGTCCAGGTCTTTTGCGTCTTTCCAAGAAAGTCCAGGTCTCTTTGGCTGTGGATGGGTCTGAGTCTCCTTTGCTGGAACTCAATGCATTCTCAAGGCGCCTGGCAGAACTGTGGATTGAACACCGCGGCCGCAGGTTTCATGTCTACCGCAAGAGACAAGATAGTGGTCTCCAAAAAGGCCCTCGCGAAGGAACAGAGTCGTCCTTGATTGCTGCTCAGAAACGGGCTCGAAGCAAGTTGAGCCAAGGTCTTGGGCACGACTCCAAAGGACTCTTCGGGTCTAAGCGGACAAAGCTAGCTTGGAAGGGGTCTCTGGAAGACAATGAGGTCTACAAGAAGAATGAAGCCATGCAGGTGTTTCACCAGCGGTCTGAGAAGATCATGGAGAAGCATCTGGATGTCCGGAGGGCCAAGCTCGCCGGGTGTGAGCCGTATCCCGTAGGCGGGCTTTATGATTACAACAGCTTCGACATAGCCTTCCAATGTTGGGTTTTAACTATAATTTCAGAACATCCCTATAAGCCACCCTGGAAGGGGAAACTCGCACCGGGGCCATCTTCCAAGAACCTCGCAAATCCGGTCTGGTCTTCGACGCACGACGGGTCCATGCCATGGACTTGTGCAGAGCTTAGTGCAGTGGCAGTACAACTGCAACATGCAAAGCTAACGCGGGACCAATACTTTAAACTTTTCATGATAAAACGAGACCTGCCCAGGTGTGAGACCTCCTCTGCCGATTCCTTTGCACGATGCAAGATGTCCAAGCCAGACGGTCTCAGTATGCCGGCGCTCGTCAGACTGGCCAAGGACGCTGATGTCTTCATCATTGAAGACGAGTCCAAGTTGAACTTCATTGGGCTGGCGCCTAAGTCTCTCTCACCATTTCAGGTAATGGTCCGCATGTCTTGTCTAAGAAAGTCTGTCTGAATAACCTGCTTGCCGTGACTGGTCTCTGTTCCTGCGAGGTCTGAGATGAAGTCCGAAGTGATCAAAGGACTCATCGTGGGCTTCGGTCTGGGTCTCCCGATGGTCTCCAAGGAGGTTTGGACGGACTGTGCTGGGGACTTCAGGACTCTCGCCAGCCGCTGCACAGAACACGAAGCAGCCATCAAGGTTCCGCTTGCCCTGGAGTTGACCACGGACTTTGTCTCCAAGCGTGAGAACTACACCAAATTATTCAATGTCTTGACGGAAGAGGACGGCAGTAAGTGGCGCATCGTGTCTGAGAAACCCAAGTCGGGAAAGTTCATGAAGCTTTCAAGCTTCGCCGAAATCCCAGCGTTGATTCGCCATATGCGTGTCACCAAGTGCAGGTCTGTCCGCTGTGGGAAATACCTGGGTCCAAGGGGGTCTGCTGTCTAGAAGGTCTGGGTCTAGGTCCAGGTCTAGGTCTAGGACTAGGTCTACGACTGAGACTTGAATTGAATTAATTGGTTTCGGTTTATAAGATCAAGTCGAGACAGCACTCACTCCATTGGACTCAGAAGACAGCCAGGTGATGCAGGGCCGTGTTGCAGCACCAGCAAAAAGTTTGGTGCTTTCTGGATTCTGCCGCGTTTGCGATGAAGAGATAGATGACCCCCAGCAGCATCTAGCGGCAACGTGAGTAACAACCTTTGACTTGAAGTATGGACTTGTCTTGGGTGATGACCTTGTCTACATGTGCCGTGGTTGCGGGAAACCGCAAGCATAGCTCATGTGTTGTCCCAAAGGCGCAAACCCGATGGACCCCGGAAACTTTGCAGACTCAGCATGAATCCCTGTCTTCTCATGTCAAAAGATGCAGTTTCATCACCCGAAATCCTTGTCTCGTGTGCAGGTGCCTGGCACGGGCGACTTGAAATGAAAAGTCCCGGCAGGCTGGGTTCGTGGCTGTTCGACGTAAGTGGCATGTGTCTAAACTTGTACATCTTCAGGTTGGCTTCCGTACTTTTGGCTCCGTACTTTGCGGTCTGGGCCTACGGCCTGAGGCACCACTGAGAAGCTGAGTCTGTCAGTCCAAGGGTTTGGATGTGGGTTCCCTGCAGGGTCTTTGACATTGAGGGCAGTGTACGGCGATCGGTGGCTAGGCACTTGGTAAGCCGATTATTGCCCATGCAGGTCTGGCGACAGGGCTGTGAGTAGAGCTCCCACATGCCAAGTGCCAATTCTCCGGAGCAGCCAGTCTTGGTAAGCAGTGACAGGACACACTCCTGGATTCCGCAGCAACGCCGGCTCAACTCGGAAGACCTAGATGAAGGTTGAGTGTAGTGCAGATATGTCAAATTCCGACATGGGACTTTGTCTTAGTTAATAGCCTTGCTGAAACAGGGCAGAAGAGCATGCAACGCGACTTGCGACTTCCTGTATAAACTATACACGGAGTCGGAAGTCGCGTTGCAGGTTCTTGGTGTGTGTTACCCATACGTATCGTGTCCACCGCGCTGCCGTGGCTCTGGCACTGGTCTTGGACTTCGACCCAGCGGCAGTGCTTCCAGACTCGAAGTCAAGGGGATGCTCCTTTGAGATTGGTGGCCTGCTTGTTGGGGCATCCGTGGCTTCATTTGGATTGGTCTGGGTCTAGATCTCGTCTGCTCGATTCCAGTAAGGAGAGGTCGCTGGTGCAAGACATAGGAGCAGCATGTCGCTCAAGAACTCTAGGACTCAAGGCCTGAGGGAAGTTGTAGAGCTGTGTTGGTCCGCAGACGACGGTCTCGATTATGGTGAGCCTTGGACAGGGCGTCGCTACCGCAAACACCAGGAACAGGACCATACTGGTTTTTAAGCTATGACAGTGTCTGGAAGAATGACGTTCTCATTCCCCCACCGGTGAATGCATCACTGAAGTCAGGCCGCACCCGCCTCACTGAGGTCTTAGGCTTAGGTCTTGTAGGTCTGTGCAGGATCAAGGTGTGCAGGCCCTGGAAGCAGGAGCAGGAAGGCAACATCGTACAGCGACGTTCTGTTCACGTGAATGAACCGGACGTCGCTGCACGATGCTGTCTGCTACGTCAGGAACGGATGCAGAAGACAACATCGAGCAGCGACGTCGACGCTGCTCGATGCTGTCTTCTGATGCAACTGGTGCAACAGCACGGCCTGTGCAGCTCTAATGCCAACACTTCAATGAGGTGTTGGCATTAGAGCTGCGCAGGCGTCCCGGCGCCCAGAAGCGACAAGAGATTGAGGACAATCTCTTGTCGCTTCTGGGCAGCACGATGTGGACGCTGGGGTGGGCGGCACATTTGGCCAAGGGAGATGTCGTCTCTCTAGGCCGGATGTGCCGCCCACCCCTCCTGGTAGCACGGTCTGCAGCCGAGGGCAAAATTCATGTCTGAGGTCCGACGCTCTGCAACTGCTAGTGAGGGAAGCCTCGTGCAGAAATTTCTCAAAATGCTTTGAATCAGCACGGTCTGTATCGGGCTATAGGGTCGTTCTGCCGCAGTCTTGGCAGGCCAAACCGCTGGAGCACCGTTTGCCGCCCAGCTGATCATGTCTTCAGCATCGCATGGCCACAGACTAGCGCCGGCTAGAGTGTGTCTCCTTTGTCATGTCATAGTGCAGAGTTCGGGCTTCATGTGTGATGGTCTTGGATTCTGTACTCTATCTCAGCCCTAGCCTCGCACACAGGTCTCGGCTGCTGGAGTGGCCTTGTCCCGTTCTCTGGCACTGGCCAGAAGCCCAGTTTGGGCAGCGTACTTACTTACTGTGTGCACACATCAGCCGGAACATTGCCGTTCTGTTGAAATGCGTGCTGAAGCCATGCAAGTTGCTGCCTGGGATTCCGGCCACGACAGGTCTAACGTCGACGGCCTGTTCGTCCGCCAGGCAGCAATTAAATTAGTTAGCAGTGCATTGCGCAGTCTTCTACTCGTGTGCAACATGGCAGGCCTGGATTGGACGCTTTCTGCATGTCGCCACTACTATGACGAGGATTCACCACCTTGAATTTTTGCATCCAATATCGGGTCTAGTCTACCAATCTTCGCAGGTCTGGATTGGACGTCTTCTCCGCTTGCTTGCCATCAAGCCGGCGGGTGCCTAAGTTTGCGGTGGGGCATGCCCTGAATCACTGAATACGTTTCCGTCAGGTGTGGGCCCAGACGTCGACGAGGTCGGGCTGGCTGCTCAGCTGCTGGCCGTGTTTGTTCGTCACTGTCAGATTGTGTTTTTGGCACTTGCAGCAAGTGGTTGTATCGATTGCTGCCGGCGAGAATTTGCAGCTGGAGCAGTTCAAAGGTCAGTCCCAGGGCCCATGCATGGACTTGGTCTTAAAGAAGGGGCTACACTCAGCACTTATCAGTCCGCAGGGCTTGGGGGTTAACCTACACTTTTGTCTTGAGCATGGCGAGCGAGCGTCCCTGCCATGATTCCTCCGCCAGAACACTAGTAAAGTAAAGCTGCTCTAGGACGCAGGGCCACTTCATGGTCTCCCCATCGACATGCTCACAGCCAGTTAAGACGTACTGCCGCCCAGCTGCGGAGCGGGCCGAGTGCAGGCAGGATCACTGCCGGGAGCTCGCGGACGGCACCGCGAGCTCCCGTCAGTGATCCTGAGCTGCAGTACAAATCACTGAAGCCCCGCGACTGTCTTCTGGGGACTGCAGTGCAGCTCGAGTGCTACTCGATCATTGAGCGATTGGCATTGGAGCTGCACTGTCCTGTTCCCAGAAACCAGCCAC